TCTGAACTTTTATTATCTTTGTATTTTCAAATTTAATAATTAGTATAATGTTAATTTAAATATAATGTTAATAATTAGTGTAGCATCATTTATAATACTAACTATTTGTATATACAAATCCTTTTTTAAATTATAAAGCAGTATGTAATTAATGCTTTTTTTTTAAAAAAAATAAATATTTCTAACTATATATTCTGAATTATCTTTATATAATATTTATAATAATATTTTTTATATCTAAAGATATAGTTAGTAAAAGGTATAATAGCAATTTATAATAATATTAGTATAGCAAATTCTATTATATTTATTACAGTAATATATTGTATTTAAAGGTATGTGATATTATTTATTAACTTCTTTATATTATTTTTTTATTTGCAGGTTTTTTATTCTCATATTATTTATTTACAGTTTTTTGGCATTATTTAAATCTTGTATTTTTTGCAAAATTGTTAAAAGCATTATTTTTATCTTATTTTTTAAGTTAGTATATTTTAAGTGTTGTAATTTAGAAAATAATACAAGTATTAAATTAATAACTGAAATAAGCTCTTCTTTTTTATTGTATTTTCATTTTTTAGCATTTCAGTCTTTTGTTCTATTACTGAAATTGCTTGTCATACATTTGTGTTAGTTTATTGCAATAAGGTTCTTTTAATAAATATTTGTTTCTTCTCTTATACAAATACACTAAATAATTTTATTTCCTTATTTAAATTAATATCATCATCTAAATTAGTAAATATATTATTTATAATTAGATTTAAAAATTGTTTTCTTCTTAAATATACGCAAAAATGTTACTGTTTTAAATAAGGTTTAGGTCATGTTCATAGTTCTAAACTTTTATTATCTTTGTATCCAATAATATTAAAAAGGTTGGTATATAGCTACATATATATATATTAAATATTAAACTTAACTTAATACAATGATATATGTTTATTAGAGTTGAAGGCATAAAAAATTTTGTACATTTCTGTTAAGCATATCTTTAGTTTTTTTAATTTTAAAATATGCCTTATAGCAATGTTTTAAAATTTTTTGAAAAAATTATGTCTTAGAATATTGTACTTCCAACCTTAATATTTATAAAATTATCTTTAAAAAATTTATATAATTTCTTGCAACAATTTTCTAATAATATTGTAATGGTATTGGAGGAATTAAGGACTTTAATGCTTTATTAATCTTTTTTATTATAGTATCAAGTTCTTGATACTAATTTTGAAATCCTGAACAAGATATTACTAAAATATTTTTAATAATTTTAGAAATTTGAGGTTCTAAATTTAATAAAGTTTCTTCATATGATATTTCTATTAATTTATAAATTAGATAGCATCTAGATAACCAAATTGATGCAAATTAAAGTTTTGCTACATTCTATAATAAAGGTTAGTTAATTTGAACTCTAATGTGAAAGTTAATAATAGCCTAAAGATAAGTAAAAATCTATTGCAAATACATTTGTTTAGATTATATTTTATATTATTTTATATTACAAATTAAATTAAAACATATTTAACTTGCTTAAATTTTAATTTATATATTTTATTAGTTTGCTCTTTGGCCTATTTCAAATATCTATTAGGTGTTAAATTATTATGATTTTGGATATATGGCTATATTAATTCTAATGCTATTGAATAACAATATATGTTATATATTGAGACTCATACTTTGTGATAATCAGTGCATTTTTGAAAAAATGCTAATTGATTATCTAATCAATATCCTTGGTATTAGGCAAATGTTTTTATATCTATTTTTCTTAAAAATTAAAAATTGTATATAAGTAAATTATTGAATTAGTGAATTAAAATATTTAAATTTAATTTATATCAATTTAGTTTAACAAATGCTTTAAGCATATTCATTTCTTTATATAAAGTACCTAAAAGTAAAATTAACTAAGAAATCTTTTGTTTTAATTTTAGCACTTGATTATACAGTATGCTATCATATACAATAAGCATCTATTTACATTTTCCAAACTTAATTTCAGCAATTATTTAATATGTTCTAAAACTTTTTGAACATTTATTAAGAAGTTAGAATTAATAGAAATTAGATCAGAAACATATATATTTGGAATTTTTATTTTTTGGTCTGCTATGGTTTTTTGTATTATACTAATTTTAGATTTTTGTAATTTAATACTAGATTTTTTAGAATTGTAAGATTTAAATATTATTGTTTTATTTGTATTTTTAGATAATTCTATTTGTTAAACAAATGATTCTTGATTTATCAAAGTAATTGTTAGTAGCTTAGTATTACATTAAGAACCATTTTGTTTTTTGTTATCAATTTTTAACTCAAAACAATTTAAGCATTTTTTAATTTTATTAAATAAACTATTTTGTTTTTCAAATAGTTTATCTGTTTCATTCACTTCTTGATTTTTCTTAGAATGTAAACTATTTATAATTTTAATAAAAAAATTATAAAGCTTTAATTCAAGTATTTTTTTTATAATATTACTTAAATTAAGTAGTTGATTAATATTATTTTCAAAAAATAAATTATTTTTTTATGAATTAACTTTTAATTGGCTATTATTATTCAAATCAAAATTAAATACTACAAAGCTAGTTATAGTATAAAATATGATAGTATTATAGCCTTGTCTAAATAATTTTTTTGACCTTTTTGTTCATTATTGAAGGCAAAAATTAAAAATTCATCTAACAAAGATTTGGGTTTGCTTGCTAAACTTTCAATCCAATTAATAAATTTTGTATAGCCTTCTCTGCTAGTAATATGATTATTAATATCTATTATAATTTTTGACTGTGTAATAATATATTTAATTGCAGATGCAACAAGATTTATTTTAAAAACATACTCGCTATCTTATAATTTATAAATTGCATTAACAGCAACTATATAGTTAAAAATTTTTTTTAATATAATTGTTTATCATTATTTGTAAGTATTTCAATAATTTTACTATTACAGAATTACAATATTTAAGTTAATTTATAGGATTATATGCTAATAAACTTTCTAAAGAAAATTAATTGCAATTAATTAAGTAGATGATATTATTATATAAAAACCTTCATTCTAATAAAGCAATTTTAGCAACTTCTATTATTTATTTTTGTTGGATATTATATCTTTCATTTCATTGTTCTTTTAAATACCTATTTTTATTTTCTAATTTATTCTTTTTATTTACTAATACTTTTATTTGATTTTTATATAAATCTAAACTTTTTACTCTTATATTAAGATTATCAATTTGTTTTTTAAGATATTTATATTCATGTTTTAATTCAAAAATTTTAATATTTTTAATTTTAATAATTTGTACTTGTTTAGAATGCTCAGCTACAAGTGTTAAGAGAATTTTTTAAAGTATTGATTTGTATTAAAAGATTATTATTACTATTTATTTCTACTTGAATTTCAATATTGATAGCTATTGAAGGTTCTATTTGTGTATTATTCAAAATATTAAAATTGCAACTTCACTTTCATAAATATGATGATAATTCATCTTTTAATTAATTTAAATAATTATCTTTTACAACAATTTGATTATAATAATTTTTACAAATTGTATATTTTTCTAACTTATTTTGTAAGATACTTAATTTAACAAAATAGGTCTTAAATAGTTTAATTTGAGTTCTAATAGCATTTGTAAATGCATTTCAAATTTGAGTCTTCTTCTTAATTTCATATTTATTTAATTTTTTATGTTTATAAATATCAATAAGTGTAAAAAACAAATAAGACTTAGATGGATCTTTAGCTTTAGCTTCAATTTCATTTTCAATTTTTTGAAATATAACAAATATATAAGTAATGATTTAAATTATAAAACTAACAAAACTTATATTATCATTTATTTTTTAATATTTAGGATTAAAGAAAATTTGAGCAAATTTAAAATATAAACAAAGAGATGATTAATAATAAGGAATTTAAGACAACTTATCAAAAATGTGATAGTGAATATAATTTTATTTATAAGGTTTTTATTATTTAATCCAAAGGTTCTTATTTTTACAATATTGCAATAGCACAAATATCCTGTTTTTATAACTTTTTCTAATCTAAGAAGTACAAGAGGGTTTTTACTTATTAATTTTTTTTCTATTCACAGCCAAGACTAAGCAAGTTCTTTTTAATGAACAGGGCTTTTCTTTTTTTTGAATCTTTACACAATGCTTTTTTTTCCAACTGCTTTACAGAGTTTTTTCTACAAAGGTTTTTAATTTTGCATTTGTATTATAGCTACAAAATATTCTATTATTTGTTTAAGCCTTTTATATTAATAAATAAACATTCTGTAATATTATTTCAAAGTTATAATTTTTTCTATTATTATAAGATTTTGCTACACCAAATTTCTAAAAATTTTATGTTTATTTTGTAACATTAGTCTGAATTTACTTTAGTACTTATTTTAGAAGAAATAGTTTAAGTTATATAATAAAAAGAGTAGCATATTAAAGTTAACTTTTTTTATAATAAATTAATAGTTTTAAAAGAAAAAAATATTTGTTATAGAAGATAACTATGTTTTTTAAAAACTTATAATATTTTTATGCTCAATCATTATAAGATTGTAAAATTTTGAGTTCATTATATTCAGAGTTCATTATATATAAATGCATTATATCTAATATCAACTGTACAATATATAATATTCCAAGACACAAACTAGTCTATTATAAATAAACCAAATTTAAGATCTTTAATTGATCTATTTAGCAATTAAACATTAGCAAATTATAGTAATAGTAATGTTTGAGTTAAATTTTATAGAATACTAATCTTGATTTTAATAGTATAGAAGTATAATATAATAATAAAAATTACTAAACTAAAAAATAGAAATGAATATAAAAGGTATGATTTTTATATAAATAATATTTTATAAATAGATTATCCTAAGATGACTTTTTGAAACTTGGACATGTTACTGCTATAGTATTTTAAAATTGACTAAAACTAAATAGTACAAAAGATTATGTACATCATAATTCTAAAGAATATTTTTCTAGTAAAAAGTTATTTATCACATAATCAAAACTTTTGCCTAAATTCAAATTGAAAGTTTGAAGCAATTAGATGCTATAACAATGCATATCTAAACTTCTAGAAAATGTCTTATATTTTGTAATGTTTTATTAAAAAAGCAGTAAATAAGCAAATATGATTTAGTTTCAAATATTATATGTTATATAAGGTAAATGTTTTAATACAAAGTTTGAGTTTCATAGTAGTTGGTAATTAAGAAAAGATAATTATTAAATTACAAGAGTTATTGTTTTTTTAACTATGTTCTTTACTATATGCTTCTAACAAATCTCTAAAATACATTATTATTTTCTTTACCTAATTTAAATAAAACATATTAAACATTTACAAAATATAAAGTAATCAAATATAACAACTTATATAAAATTAATTTATTTTTTTATTTTTTTTTTAAGTTAAAGTTCCTATCTTGGGAGTTGCAATGTTTTTATTCAAGTATATTAGGACACAGCATGCCACCAAGGGCTTACCTTACATTAGAGGTTACAACTAACCACACATGCACTTTTGGTGCCTAATTTAAGTAGTTCGCTTATACATTATTATATAAGTTCTATACTAGTTGCTATACCTGCAAGCCAACTAGGGGTTTTGCCTATTTAAACCCTCTGCATATGCAGTCCTTCTTGTATCATAAAAACATCTTAAGGCACTGTTCATCTAAGTTCCTAATGCTTATCGGTCTCCTTAAAACTACTTTATCCTCGATAAAAAACTTACTAGAGCCTTTATGTCCCACACATCTAGACCTAGTTTTATGCAACATGCTATAGTTACCTAACACTTGCAGTCATAAGGGTTACCTGTTTAACCACTACATTACACTATTTCTATCCTTGTAAAGTTTACTAGAACCTCAGTACCCATCTTTCTGACATCTTCTCTATTATCTCCTACTAGTTGCAACTCAGAACTGTCAGTCTCATTTATCCAGACTACCAATCCAGATGGCCTAGTATAGTATACTTCTGTATTCTTTTCCTCCAGCGAACCCAGCAGCCTGGTTGGTTATGTGCTTTTCTACACATATTTATTGTTCAGTTTTAATCTTCGGTTTTTATAGTGTTTCATGAGCTTCAACCGGTCTGATAATATCGTCGAAAGTTCATGTTACCTCTTTACTCAGGAATTTCCAAGTGGGTTTCCATTATCTCAGTTCCTTAGTCTTCTACACTTAGTGGTCTTATCATGAGTTTGTACCGAAGTCTTATGCAATACCAGTTAACATTTCATTATATACATGTAATATTACACTTCACATAGATGCTTTGAGCTCCTAAAGCCGGGGGGACCCAGCCTGGTATATCTGGATAACAGCCACATGAGACCAATCGATCGACAAGAGATAGTTACCATAATGCAGATATAATTTTCAAATTTCATCGTAGATGGGATTTGAACCTTAAACCTGCCACTTGGAGGATGACAACTCAACCAATATACTAAGATCATCATCCTCATAAAATCAATTTATAAAAAAAAATAGATGTAATAAAACCTTTATAATTGCATGTTCTTAAGATTGAAATTTAACAATATGTATTTAGAAAACTATAAAAAAAAGAAGTAATATTTATTTGAACCTGAATTTGAGTATGCATTAGAGAATATGCATTTATAATATGTCTATAATACTGTAATAAATAATATTTTAATATTGACTAGATAAATGCATAGCATTGTATATTCAGAGCAAGTATTAAATTACAAATTATATTACATTTACGATACTATATATATATGTATTACTATTTGATTGGATAATAGTCATATGATGTAACCAGACAAACAAACCTTGCATATCACTCTTTACAGAATAATATGATGTTGAGTCAGTAAAAATCAAGCAAATTTTTTCTAAGTAACTTTTTTTAAAACTTTAAATAATAATAACTTAACAGCAACTTGATCAAATTTAATAATTTTTTTTTAAAAGAGTTTTACAAACTTATAGAATTTATTTAAAAAAATTTTTATTAAATTTAATTAAGTTTTTGTTAAAGTATTGGCATTTAAAGTTGTTAAAAAAATTTAATAAAAACAATTTGCTTGATTTCTACTGACTCAACCCCATATAGTGTCCTTTGCTACACTCCAGACAAATAATACTGTAATACTGTAATACTGTAATACTGTAATATGTATTATGTAGCCAATCAATGTTAAGATTTATTGCTAAATTCTAGAATATCGTTATGCCGTAATGCAGTGAAAATCATTACTATATTTGGAAATGCCAAATATGGAAAAACACCTAACTGTATTATAAGTAATCGTCCATCACTAATACAAAAATTCGCAAATTTGATTGGCTAAGGCATCATGCACGGTTGGAACATCGTGTTACACAATTTCCTTATTCGGCAGTTTCTCTCCTCAACCGGTTGTACGGGTCAACCGATTAAGAATTTACTCAGCCGGTTACCCGAAATTTATACGGCTCGGGTCGGTTAATCGATTATAGCCCAACCGGTTCAAATCTCGCGAACGTTTCGAACACATACTATTAACAAAGCAAAGAAAATAATAATGAAGATTTATACACAATGGAAAAATTTTAACAATAGATATTCGTATGGTAGCCTCTGAAAGTTTGTAACTTTTTAAAATCCAGATTGGCTGGATTGAACATTTAAGATAAATTAGTAAGAAAAAAGAAAGTGCCTTTATTTCACAATACAATAATAATGTGTTAGATCTTATGTTTTCTGTGTAATAGTAACAGATTTTTAGAGGTTACATGTTCAACAGTTTTGACCAGAGTTGTAAATTGTAGATCCGGTTTACTATAACCCGGTTCTAAACTCTAATCTGTATCTATAGTGGAACTATTATTAGTTCCCATGTCGTCAAAATCAAAAAATTTAAATCCATTATTGTTTATTCTTTGTTCCAAGGCTTTAATTTCATAGGAAGAAATGTTTTTCCATTCTATTGAAGAGAATGGATCTTTACCATCGACTGGAGATGTTGGCGGCATATCCCATTCTGACCCATCTCCATTTGGAATAAGGGTGGCAAAGTCATCATCATAATATTCGTCTATATTTTTCAAGTGAGGTTTCATTATAGAGAAACTATAAACTTCTTCTTGAAGCCATTGTTCCCAATTTTCCGGGAATGAATCGTCTAGCATAATATCATCAGGAATATAGGCGTAATTAACATGATTGAGTGATTTTGTATGGCATGGAGGGAATATGTCAGGAAGGTTTCTGTTGCTATTATCATAGTACATGCCATCCTGTTGATCGCATTGAGGAAAATAATTTCTTTCATTATAAAATTTAATCAATGTTCTAAGGTTTTGTTCTTGAGGCTGCCAATATATAGGAATCAGCTCTTAGTGTTGTTAGAACTTTAAAAAAATTCAAACAATTTATCAAAAAGCGAACTTGCCAAAGCGTCATCCATCTCGGCATCCACATCTGTCGACGAAATCCATTCATCCCTAAGATCTGGACGACAACTCAAATATATTGAAGTAATAACTTTCATATTACCTTTATAATAAAATGAGGTAAACATAAATCCTATTTGTAATTAGCTTTTAAAGAAAAAGGAACATAACTCGTACTTTGTCGCCATTTTCTTCCTATAAATGGAATTTGGTTCTTTAATACTTTTAAAGCATATAACTCCAATAATGGATGAGATACTTTTAGAATTCTTTTCAAAATTGCCTGTTCAAATTGAATATTTCTCAATTGCATTCATATTAATACTGTGGATTTGATTATATACTACTTACTGATGATTTGTATTGTACCAATAATAAAATTCGGTGTGTCTTTCTTTTGGTCAATTTCTGCAATATCTTTAGGAAGTTTATAGCTGCGAAAAAATTTCTCCAACAATAATCTGAATCAATGTCATTTTCATTACTTGTATTAGATTGTGAGTCATTGGATTGATCAGATTGATTTGTGTTGTAAAATGCTTGCGAATGTTCTTGTTGGTTATCAACATTCATATTATTATCCGCTAGTTTCATTTCATTTGTGTCATTGTTGATGCTCATGCAGTATTGAAAAAAACTGATATAATAATAATAATAATAATAATAATAATAATAATAATAATAATAATAATAATAATAATAATAATAATAATTATAATAATTATAATAATAATAAATAAATAAATAAATAAATAAATAAATAAATAAATAAATAAATAATGTTATTAATTACACATCTAAATAATGCTTTAACACAGCCGAATCATTTCACTTACTTCATATTTTCGACTTCATTCTTAGCTTTTACCATTAAACTCACATCCTGCAAACCAAACATTTTCAATATGAGAAGTAAGCAATTTGAATCGACCAAGAGTTGTGACAAATATTCAAATTTTAATATATCTATCGCAATTTATTCTCATTAAGGTTAAATTGTAAAGTTAACATATTAATAATATTAATAATAATTTAAAGGATACGTGACAACTTTAAATGTTTGAGCATTAGGAGAATTATAGCTGACACTGCTTTTGACGTAATTTCGCGATGTCGCATGATGTCTATTTCTTCAATTGTGTTACCATTCGAGGTTGAATAATTGATAGTATTTTCAAAAATATGATCTTGGATGTTTATATATTTAAATACAAGTTAATTTATTGAATTATCATATATCAGATTAATGACTCAATGCCCACCATTATTGACAGAAGTCCCGCCTTTATCGTTATCAGAGTTCTTATTGTTAGACACTGTGGCAAGTAATAATTTGAGAAGCATGATGACAATGTTTTGCAAATGAGGAAGAATTGATTTCTATTAAATAGTTAAGGATCCAACCAAACAAAAAAGGAAACGTTTATGACACCCCTGAAAGATGTCAATTTAAATGTATACTTAATAAAAAAAGAAAGGATACATAAAGAATTTCAATCCGCTCGATCTTCTCTTTGTCCATTTTCGCTATTTTGTTTTGGAATTCATCTTCATTATTGGTAAATTGATTTCTCACATCATTTTCATTGAATGATATACTATTGGTTATATTCATAGTAGGTAGTTTTTTCATTTCAATTCTTTCATTCCAGCATTGAAAAGTACCTAAACTTATGTGCATAAATTTAAGATATAAATCACCAGCCTCTTGTATAGATTTTGGTACACTAGGAGTAGACTTTGAAAATGGAAAAATAAATGGTTGCCGCTGATTCGTTTGAAATTGTTGTTTTCTTGATTTTGGAGGTTGACTACCATTTCCATTGCCATTAACAGATGATGCATTTTGCCCTGAAGAATCATTTCCATTAGTATGGTTATTCGCACTTGGAAATAGACTTGCAGCAATGGGAGAAGTTGGAATAAATGGGCAGGGAGGTGGAACATATGTTGGATATTTTTGTGTTGCCTCATTTTGGAATGTGTAATAATCCATCGGTGTGGACTTGGTTAGTAAACCTAAAAAACAGTTTATAATCAGTAAGCAATAAATATGATATTTAAATAAACACGTAAGATATAGATAGATACACTACCTTTATCAAAGATAGGTGGTAGTCCATTAAGTGTTCTAACAGTATTTTTCAGTCTCGACATATCATTTAATCCGCCTAAACTTGCTAAAATAACTTTCCATAATAGAAGGAGAAACTTTCGTATTTGTTTAGACAGTTCCATCTACGTGTCAGCACCTTAGCTTATGTGGAATTATTGGTAGTAATAAAAGTTTCAACTCACCTTTTTAACAGGATAGCCTTTGGCATTTTTTTCTTTCTCCCGTAATGACGCGATTATCTCAAATAGGAATACAACCATTGGCGGATTAAGTTCAGCTAAATAGGTAATCTGCAGTTAAGATATCAGATATTATGAAATTGCATTTAAATTATAATTCAAAATATCAATAAGCCAACCAAGTTCAGCGCCAAATGAATCATCCCCATGATGAGTTTCGACAAGCATATATAATAATGTCAAGTAAAAGCCAATTTCGGTGTTTATATCGTCGATATATGCTTGTCTATCCACGTTAAAATCTGAACGGCTTTAAATATTGATAGTAAATATTGATAATAATTAGTTAGTATGTATACATATATTGAAGAGAAAGTCAATCAGTAAAATACCTATAATAATCATGTGCATGACACGCCAACTTCAGAGCTTGAAAATATGAGAGAAGAGCCCCACACTTTCGTAGCAATTTGTTGTTCTCCATGATCCATTCGAGGTGCTGTTCTTGTGTTGTAGTTTCACCAAATGTTCCTGAAGTCGAGGATCAGCCAAGTATAAATTGACTTGTAATATGCTCAAAATAATCCGGAATGACGAGTATAATACACCACCTTGAGCAATATACAATAACTTTTTTGCAGACAAAAATCTTTTTTCAGGATCTTTTAATTCCAAAGTTTCCAATAAATACTCGATATAAACACGGCGTTCAGACATAGTACATATAGTCCAGGCTATCAAAAAATATTTTGTTTGAAAAGACTCCTTAAGACCATTTGAATTTCATAATATGTTTTTATGGTCACTTACTTTCACCGAATCCCTCGTCGAAAATATTTTTGTTCTCCAAGCATTGTGAAATTTCAGCATAGCTATAAAATTCCTCAATTTCGTTTGAGATGCTATCGTGATCAGTGTATGAAAAAGATATTTCTTTTGGCTATTTAGCAGTATGCGTAAATTTTAAAATTTTATAATCAAGGCGTGACCTTTCATAAATAATTTACATAAGGAAAAGCCTGTAACGTTTATCTTTTACCTTTTGCTTATTTGGTAATTGTTTTACTATTTTTTTTAATTGGCCCAAAGTTAAAGAATCGTCTGGAGCTTCGTCACTTATGTGTTCCCCCGAAGTGTCAGCCATTAGCGAAACTGGTATAAAATGTTCATTTAATTTAAACATCTGATATAAATGGCCATTGCAATGTAAAACAGGGACACGTAAAACTTTAAGGGTAGGGTGTATGTAGATCATTTGTCATATCTGATACGTACATGAGTCGTCACATGAAATTGAATAGCACGCTATTATTGGCCAATTTGAAGCATGTGACTTCGTAAACTTAATTGGTTTCGCTACAGCAGAGACCGTTAATGTTACACATATATTAAAAGTGGGAGAGGGATTATATAAAGAATTTAATTTGTGATTGGTCACTGTATTCTATCGCTTCTCATTTTAAGGTCTATATATATGGGAGTGAGTCAATAGAAATCAAGCAATTTTTTTTCTAAGTAAATTTTTTTGAAACTTTAAACAAAGATAACTAAAACTTTAAAAAATTTTTTATTAAATTTCATTAAGTTTTTATTGAATTATTGTTGTTTAAAAGATTTAAAAGAATTCCAATAAAAACAATTTGCTTGATTTCTATTGACTCACTTCCATATATGTATTTTTTAAAATGTCTACCGAACTAATATAGTATTTGAGGATCTATCGTTTATTATACCCAAAGCTCATTATGATAAGACTCATTAATCTTTACATATATACACGTATATAAAGTTTTAACTACTCTTATTACTAACTCTATTCTTATGTGTAGAATAATAAAAAAAAAAAAACTCTTTCTGTAGATCATTGGAAAAACAAAAAAGTAAACAAAACTAGTACTAAAATATCGAACATATTAATTAAATAGAACAAAAGATACTTAAAAAAGAGAGAAAATAGACTCTCAGAATACCTAAGACCTATTCAACATAGCCAAAAGACAAAGAACCTCAATCACTAAACTACAAGACTCCAAA